AGTGCATAATCCTTGTAAACCGGCATACGGTAAGTCATCTTGCATACTCTTCGCACTCCTATGCAACATCGTTCTGCACAAATATGGATGAGTTCTTGCCAAGTAATATGCTCTCAATCCGGACAGTACTTCATTCACCATCTTCGTAGTCAACACTATTATGAAAATGTGTAATTCGACCATTCCACCGAATCAATAGGTCGAATTTTCGAAATTTTTACCCATTTCTGCAGTTTATAGAAGCAGCTCATTACATACAGTTCAAAGTTCAAACAATACTAAATTAATCCAAAATTCTAATATGCTCATTCAAACAACGTAAGCAGAATTTACCTCCAAAATTTTTCTTCTTTGCTCAGCTATGGTGCTCCAGCTGTAGTTTGTGTTTGGAAGAAAGAAGATAGAAAGTATAAGAGCTGCCAGAATATGCTAAGTGCTTGCTTTTTATCCTCGTAAACTGATGCAGTGGTTCGAGACCAAAGAACTCGAACTACAGTAGTTCGTGTCCAGAGAACTCGATCCAGGGCAACCAATAATTTTACCCCTGCACCCTATTCTGGAGCATGTCGGGCCGAAAGCAATTGGACAGAATGATTGAGCAGTGGTTCGAGTACAGGGTAATCGAACTACACTAGTTCGAGTCCTTAGAGCTCGATCTAGTACAACAAAGAATCTTATCCCTGTAACCCCATCCTGAAGCATGTCGGGGGGAAAGTGACTTTGTAGATAATTGACCAGTGGTTCAAGGCCATAGGAATCGATTTAGGTTGTTCGAGTTGTAAGGCATCGATCTAGTGCAGATATGGATCGAGGCTTCTAAATTCGTTTAACTTGATTGAGTTGTTTGGCATCGATCGAATTGGATCGAGTTGTCCAAAGTCTTTCTACATTGATTGAGTCCTTTGTCGCCGATCTACCTTGATCGATTCTTCCAAAATCATTCTACAGTTGATCGAGTTTTAAGAACTCAATGTGGTGTTAGTTCGAGTTCTTTATCGTCGAACTGACTTTTTGTTCGAGTTTATGGGACTCGAACCCTTTAAAATTTGGGTAGTTTGGGAAAATTTTATAAATCTTATGTATTATGGGAATTATGTTTAATTAATGTTGTATTATGGGAATTAACCTGTTTAGTTCTCTCTCAAGGCTCTCGATACATGCAATCTAAATGGGCAGGGAGAGAGAGAGAAAGTGAGGACCAGGGGCCAAAAGGCAATGAGGTTTGGCAGCGGGCAAAAATAAGAGAGGGAGGGACAAATTGTCCAGACAGAAAATTTTATTAAATAAAATACATAAATAATTATATAAACCAAAATAACCAAATCCTTCTTAAGTCAGAATCAACATAATTCAAAGATTTCTCCCAACCATCAAAATAGCCTTCAATCTTCTCTTCTGCTTTATTTTTATGAACTATTGTCTCAAGAACAACAACTACATCTACCTTATACTTCCTTAGGATTTTGACAAAATTCTGCTATTTCGAGGGCTTATTAAACCCTCGAACATTCCAATACAGAAAAATCATCTGGATGCATCCTGCAGTTTTACTACATCAGATTCATCAATGTCACTGAGCACACTAAAGGAAGATGGAGAAACGTGCAACACACTATTAGGACTAGCTTAGGGTACCAGACTCGTGGCCTCGCACCATTAACTACTCGTTGGAAGTCATCGTCAGCTGGGAGCTGTGCAGAAGCAGTAGCTACCGCTAAGTTCACAGATCTCAAGCCTAGTAAGAATTTTGTTCACTGCTTGGTTCAAAGTGGTTCGGGTGAGACTTGTTTTTTCACTGCAGTCTACGCTTCAAATGATGAGGCTGAGAGACGAGATACATATGCATAATTGAGTAGATATAAGGTGATGGGCCAAGCTTGGATTGTAGGTGGTGATTTTAATGCAGTCATGAATCCAGAAGAGACATCAAATCAGCGTTATATGACTGCGAGTATGGAGGACTTTTCAACCTGGCACATTTTTGCCCTTTTACTAGAGATGTTTACGGCATTTGCATCGCTCGATGAGCAATTTTATGCTAGGTTTGTGCGTGTTTTAGCATGTTTCAGATCTTAGCAGGTGGAATTAGCTCCAGGATAAAAAATCGAACGAAAGTGGGCGGAAACAGAACAAGGATGGACAAAGGACATAGATCACGTGCAAAAGACAATTATCACGGGCGAGATACCATGAAGATGGAGTATAGACCATGACAATTGACGGAGTCCATGAAGCTAACTTAGGATGGCTCATGGGCAAGTCAAAGTTCACAGTCACCAGTCCGTGACAATTTCCATCATTCTGTGAAGTCTATTAGTGAAATGGTGTGTTTCTGCCCGAGTTTAGGGGTAGGCCTTCGACTTCACGGGCGTGATAATTGACCGTGAAAACTGCACGACTGGAGTATATAAAGAAGAGGGAGCTAAAACCTAAAAAGAGGAGGTTCTAGAGTGAGATTAACTTCTTCTTCTTCTTCTTCTTCAAATAGAGAGAGAAAGTGACGAGCAAAAGAGAGGAAGAAAATGGTTTTGGCTACCCAAAGATAGAGGGTTGAAGAATGCTTCTCCAAAGGGAGATTCAAGCAACAAGAAGGAATGATAGTCATCTCACCATGGTTTCTTCTTCCATCCTAGTTGTATTCCCCTTCCTAGATATGGAGTATTCTCCCTTTTTCACTAGGATATTGGAAACCCTAGTATAAGATGTGTAGTGTGTAAAAGTTGAACTCTTGTGTGATGATTATGTGATTAATATAATGTTTGAGGTATTTTTCATGATTCTTGAGTGATTGTTTATCATATCTCATTGTTGGATTGATTTGATCTAGGAGGAAATCCCCTCATAGCCCATACCTTGACAATTTGGTTAACCCCTTCTAGTACAATTGAGAACAAACCTCAAACATCGAATTGGCACAATGATTGTATCATGATTGGTTTCCTTTCGCCGTTCCGGATTGATCTTCGAGGGATTGACTTTTGCAATCCTCAGTCGGTTAACTAAGAGAGTTAGATTTTCTAGCTTTTTGTGACACCCTTTAGTTGATTGATTAATAGAGTTGGGTTTTCCAACTAATTGCATCTTCTTCATGGTATTTAATCACACTCGAGTTCCATTGATCGCATCTTAGCACAAGAGTAGGGTGAACAATATCCGGGTGAAGTCTTCTCACATTGATTGGGAGGCAACCCGGCCGAGCTTGACCCACCACCCAATCAGCCAATGTGTTGAACCTCTGAGGCACGAACACCATCGTAATCCAAGGAGAAGCATGGAGACACCAAATGATCCGCGCCAACAAAGCTCGACAGTGCCAAGGCCAAAGAGAATATGGTGAATGTATTTTAACTACTTTTCATAATATGAAAACACATCATCAATACATCAATAAATTCTATGTTATTTCATTACATTGAAACTACCTAAACTAAAATTCTGGCAATATCACTATCTATAAGGTGTGGATTCATTAACGACTTTTTTTTTGCGAATTAAAGCTAGTTAAACTAATAAAATACAAGTTCGCTATATCGATTCGCATTCAATTTTGGCAAAATACACTTGTATAGCCATAACTTTCACGTTTTTGACAAATATAGCCATAACTATTGGAAAACACAAAATAGCCAAGAAATTGGATGGTCATGTGACAAATCTAGCCATTTCCGTTAGAAACTTTAACGGTGTTAGAAACTCCGTTAGTTAGGTTAACGTTAACCTGACTAGGATGCCAACTCATCGCACACGTCAGCGACAACTCAACCACACTTGCCACGTAAGTGCCATGTCATATTTTAATTCAAAAATAAATTAGTTAATTAATTAATAACTAATTTAAAAACATAAATTATTTATTTATTTTTTCCTTTTCAATATCCAGCCTCATCTCCCTCTCTCCTCTCCTTTGTCTTCCCCATCTGTTCTCCGATGGACTCCTCCACCATCTCAATGGCAGAGATAAACAGAGGCTGAATAATCACCAAAAAAGTCAATTTCTTCACTTCTCCTCTATCAAAATCTCTTCTACCTTCCGTTCTTCTCGTTGCGACCCTTCCATCCTCCCAAATCGCCAACGATGCCGTCGTTCCCAGGAGAGGCACAGCTTCAACGAAGTCGCCGTCGCCGCATTAATCGACTTTCCCACCAGCACCGCCGCATCAATCGACTTTCCCAACCGGCGACCATTGCTCCCAACCAACGACCCGACCCCCTCCGTCTCCGAACAAATTCCCTTCCCTGCAACAAAAATCCCAAACCCAGAAATACCCAAAATCTCCAGAGAATATACCCAACCTCCCTCCGTCTCCAATTCAGATCTGCCTCACCGATCCTATCGCACAGCCAGGCCCTGCAGCTCCCTCCTTCACCGTAGCCCTCTCCCCCTTCAGCTCCTCGTACCGGCTCGCCTTCACCATTTCTCCCAATCGAACAAGCATGAATCATCCCCAGCTGCTTGAACCCTCTCAACTCGCTCTCCCACATCTTAAATCTCTGCCTCATCTGCGGAGCCAACCATGGACGAAGCTGCCATGATCGCGACGACGATTGAGGATGAAGGAGTGCTGGTGGTGGTGGTATTTCAGGTGGCGATGGGTTGCGGCGGCTGCTTGAGGTGCTCCTCGACCTCGAGGGGATCCAGCCGGCAGAGAGGATGTCGATTGAAGTTTTTGATTTTTAGGGATAGACAAAGGGCAAATAGATTTTAGGGATTTTGTGTTGGGGATTTTGTGTTAATTTGTTCCTTTTGTTTAGATTTTTTTCATTTTTTTTTCATTTCCACGTCGGAAGGTAGGGTAACTCAGTGGCCAACTCAGCGTCAGCCGTTAGTCTAGTCATAACGTCTATTAACACCGTTACCAAAATGGACGGAATTGGCTATTTGTGGTTTTCGAATAGAAATGGCTATATTTGTCGAAAGTGTGAAAGTTATGGCTATACAGGTGTATTTTGCCTTCAATTTTTAGAACATTGATTTTATAATGTGGGGTGGGTGTTGCAAACTTTAGGGTAATGGTCCCCACAATCTAGGTGTTTTCCTTGGGAAAGAGACACCCCCCAATCTTGGTTTAACTTTTTATATATACGCAAATGCACAGTAGTAGCGAGCACTCCAATCCCATCATCTTCCACACTTCACGGTTCAGGCTTCTTGCTGAAGTTGTCTCTTCCAATCCCATCATCCATCAGCATTCAGCTCTGTGTGTCCCGAATCCTGATTTTGTGCCGACTCCCTTCATCTTCCCCACACAAAGCCCCCATATATATGGCGAAGATTTCGTCTCGTCCCTGTTCTCTGTTCGTCCTGCTCCTGCTCATTTTCATGGTTTCCCGTGAGTCTTCTTTTGACTATTACATTCTTTGCGCTCACAATCTCATTGATCTTCCTTCGTCCCAACCATGTGATGATATGAATTGTTTAAAATTAACTGGAACAGATGAAGAGGCAGGAATGGTGAAGGTGGCAGAGGCGAGGGTGAAGGTTTGTGCGACCCAGAGCCGTTATTTCAAAGGGGGTTGCCGCAGAGACCACAACTGTGCTATGGTGTGTCGCGACGAGGGCTTCTCCGGTGGCCGCTGCACCAAACCCTTCTCCCGTCCCCGCCGGCATTGTTTCTGCACCAAGTTCTGCTAGTTATAATCTGCCACCGTGCCAGCTCACCAGATCTCCCTCGTCCATTTATGTATCCCAGATCCATCTTCAGGGGTTTAGTTTGCTTTGCTGTTTAGGACCTGTAACACCAGCTTTGGTTATTTGGTCTCATTTGCAAGTTGCTGTGTGTGTGCCACTGCCACAGCAGTATGTGTCTTCTTAACAGTTCAGATGATGAGATGAATAGCTTATCTTCTCTTTAATCATGTCATATCCCCATATCCTGAATGCCACTTGCTTTCCGTTCTGAATCTGAATCTGGTTTATCTTTTTCTAAATGAAAGTGATACGGCTGGCCAGATCTGAGATGACCTGTCAGTCCTCCACTGCTTTGTGCTCATCCATCTGTTACTTGGATTCGGGAAGTTAGCCCCAACTTTGAACCAAATGTGGTCAACCAGACTCGCTACATGGGTCAAATTGGGAATCCAACGAACGGTTTAACACTCGCTTAAATGGACAATGGTGACCACTCCGTTCACACAAGCTGCAATGCAACTTGTATCACAACGGGATGGATTTCTGCCAGATGAATTTGTGAGTTTCTGCAATCTATTACGGCGTTGTCAAAACTCAACAGAAAGACGGTGATATCCTGGCTTATAGTGTTTAGGTTCCGTCCGTAATGAATGTATGGATTGATCAATAGTTAAGTTCAATGAATCGAATCAATTATGTTTATGTCGAACAATCAAAAGAAACGGGCTTAGGCCTAGCTGAAGAAAGAAAAGGGAATGAAAGGAAAAGTGGGGTGGCCCAAATGGAAAGGAGCCAAAGAGAAGAGGCAGATCCAGCCCAGGCAGGCTGAAGGAATGAAGGACTGAGCTTTAAGCAGGAGATGGAAGAATTTGTTGTCCGCTAACGGTTTGGATTGCGCGGAGTAAAAGAAGTGGGCTTGAGGCCCGAGCTGGAAGAAAAGAATGGGCTTAAGCCCAATTGAAGAGGGAAGGTTATATAACAGACTAGAACCTCACCCGTCCACAAATTTCATAAAGCATATAAAAAATTTCACAAATTTCTTTAAACATATAAATCTACACATAATATAATACGCGGAAGGGAAAAACGAGAGCCCCATTTCAAATTTCCTGCAACGAGAGTGAAAGTAGGAAGGACATTTTGGTCTTCACAATTACTTTTTTTTTATTCATTAAAAAGATACGTACTGGGATTCGAACCATGACCATTTTAAAAAAAAGCAAGAATCATAACCAATCACACTAAGTACATTTGTTGTATCTTTTTAAATTAAAAACATATAATAGCAAGGAGGAAAAAACTCTTCCCCCATTTCAAATTCTCTGCTCCAGTAGCGTTTATAGGAAATGTAGAATAGGTAGTGTCAATTTTTTTCTCTTTCCTCTGTGGAACGGGCCAACTTACCGTACACATGCGGATTTAAATCGGTCCGGGAGTGTCAATTTTTTTCTTTAAGCCATTTTATTTCTCCGTGGTGATAAAATATATATGAAAAGGCAAAAACAACACTTCTTTTTATTGCTAAAAATAAAAAATTTAACAATAAATTAATGCATTGTATCTAATGGGCTAATCGCTAACCATAAAATAAAAGAGTTGAATGAGCCTGACCTTCACGGGATTTGGCCATCAAGTAAAACAAATGAACATCATTGGTTTGACATTCTAAAACAAGCTATTTTCTCTGACATAATATATATTATGCTATTATTTTATATCTTAGTGGCTAAAATATAATGTATTTTCAAGTTATTCAATGGTTCAACCTCGACCAACCCAATTAGTCCAATTTTTATCATTTCAAATATATATTATATAATTATTTGATATCATAGTGATCAAATTATAGTATATTTTATAGGGAATCGTTTGGTATTTGTTAGTGAAAAAACTAAACCAAAAGATCTATTTGGTTATTTTAAACATTAAAACGATCCTAAACATTTTCAGTTCCTTTTGAATTTCTATGGTTTTATTCCCAAATAAGTGATTTGCAAATGGCGAATTGCAGTCATCTCTTTTCTTTCACTATTTTTTATTTTCAAATAGAAAGTTTAAAAGTAAAGAATAATTAGAATTTGGCATGGGTCGGTCAAACATGCTGAATTTCAAGTTTTGGCCCGTTTTATCAAGTCTAATTTATAATCACATGGTTCCCTGATACCCAATAAAAATCTCAATCCAAACCAGTATGGCAGGTGAGTCCGTGTTTACCACCATTTTCTAGGGATACGACAACGGCGGTTCCTATCCCAAATCGTGTTGTTCGTTCTTGATTTCCTTAGATTTTATCGTGGCCTGACAAAAACCAGAAAGCACAATGACGACAAGATGAAAGTTTTATAAAGCAAATTAATCGGCCAACGGGCCGAGTAAAAGCTAGCAACAATTGTGAGATGCTCATTTCCCGAAGACCGATGGGATAGGCGATTTTTTATTCAATTTTCTGGAATTCGGTTTCTATAAAACTTACTCCACCTCATCATATTACCATAAACAATATTGTTTCACAAGGTAACAGGTACTTGATTTTGGTTCATAAGACCGATTTTTGATTCGTTGCATCATTCATGTCTCTTTCCTGCTAAAATTCACTATTTTTATCATGTGTTTCCAAAAAAAAACTATACAACAATAAGCTATACACCCTATTACATTATCAAATTTCATACCTCACCTTCTTCCGGCCAACTGGCCGGGGCCCACGCTAGTAATCTTATAAAAGTAGACCATAAGTTTCATGAAACAGTCCAAAATCTTATAAACCAGATCACTAATTTACTAAAACATACCATAAATATCATCATAGGCGGAGGGAGAGCTCCTGGGATGTGTCTCAGGGGTGGCCGGAGTGACCCAAGGTATTTGACCCCGGGGTGGTCGGAGTGACCCCAAGGTGACCCAAGGTATTTGACCCCGGGGTGGCCGGAGTGACCCCAAGGTGACCCAAGGTATTTGACCCCGGGGTGGCCGGAGTGATCCCAAGGTGACCCTAGGTATTTGACCCCGGGGTGGCCTGAGTGACCCCAAGGTGACCCAAGGTATTTGACCTCGGGGTGGCCGGAGTGATCCCAAAGTGACCCAAGGTATTTGACCCGGGTGACTGGAGTGACCTCGGTGTGGGCTAGGTGACCCAAGGTATTTGACCCCGGGTGGCCGGAGTGACCCCGGGGTGGGCTAGGTGACCTAAGGTATTTGACCCCAGGGTGGCCGGAGTGACCCCAAGGTGCTCCAAGGTATTTGACCCCGGGTGGCCGGAGTGACCCCAGGGTGACCCAAGGTATTTGACCCCGGGTGGCCGGAGTGACCCCAAGGTGACCCAAGGTATTTGACCTCGGGGTGGCCGGAGTGACCCCAAGGTGACCCAAGGTATTTGACCCGGGTGACCGGAGTGAGCCCGGGGTGGGCTAGGTGACCCAAGGCATTTGACCCCGGTGACCGGAGTGACCTCGGGGTGGGGTTGTTTCCGTCCAATAAAATAAAATTTTCTTAGGGTCCACCAACAATGATTTTAGCCCTTGACGCTGGTTATGGATAGGGTCAATAACCCTATGGTGCATAATATTGCATAACTAAATTTGGGTCCTTCATTTTAACTGACCTTAGATCTAAGGGATGGCAATTAAAACTTTTTTTATTTTCCCTAGCTCTTTTAATTCGCTCTTATCATCTTCATTCTAAATTAGATTTTAATTTTTTTTATATAGATGGAACGAGTTCAAATCAAAACTCAAATCAAAAGAATATAAAATAGTGCAGTTTTACAGGATTTTCACCCTTCAAAATTTCCAGACCTCTCCTTAATTTGCGGGAGGGGTATTTTTGTCCATCTAAGCCTATAAATTGTTTTTTTTTTCCTTCCCAACTACTGGTCGATTTTTTTGGGCCACTTATGAAGCCCAGGCAGCACTGCAGCAATGTAAATATTTGTGAAATAAATATGAATATGGACAGGCCCCACTAGCCCAATAAGTAACCTGCACCCACAAATTTTCTTTTATGAATGCCCAAACAAAAATTCATCTTCAGTAATTACCCACAATTCTTCTACCCTAAATGCGCAAATCTATGGTTGAGAGCTTCAGTTTTTATATTTTTCTATGGGAGTTATTCCTTCTTTAAAGTTAGCTATACGATTCTTTTAATTATCCTAATTGTTGTTTTTGTTTTTTAATCTATCATCTATATTTAGTGCCACTCAATAATAGAAGTGGTCACTCAATAGTCCATACATAGTTGATAGTTTGGATATATGTATACTATAAATGTGAAATATGTGAAGAGTCAATAGATATTCTGATGAATTTACCCTATATGAGATTCTACTAAATAACTTGATCTTGATCTTTGTTTTGTAGTAATATTTATTACAATATCTTCTAGATATAGTAGTATGAGTATGGAAATCACGAGATGGAAGATGAAATAATATTTACTTTTTAATAAAATACATCTGACAAAAATGTGCATTTCTGTTAACTTATCAAAAAATAATTTTATATATTCCGGTTAACAGGCCGGGTACAAGCTAGTGATAAAGAGTAGATAAAAGGATGTATTTGTTGATTTTGGACTAGTAAATGTGTGTGTTCATTAAGAATGATGATTGAAGTGTGTGATTGTTAAATGCAGCAAAATAAAGAAGCGTGATTGGTCATTAATAATTTTAATTGATTTAAGATTACAACGGGACTAATCATTTGAACTGCTCTAATGTAAAGTTTGAAACAAGCACCGTAATGGGACAGGTTACGGTGATTACTACTTTACTAAGGGTAAATTGGGCATAAAAAAATAAATTGCATTAATTAATTTTTTTAATAAATTACAATTTAGGTAGTTTCAAAAATTTATTAATTACAATTCTCTTTCTTTCTCTCACTTCCATAATCTCCAGCCAGATATTCTTTACTGATTTTTCTCAATCTTTCTGCAAAAGAAAAAAAACACGAAATCATTACCAATCTATTAGAGAACCACTACCACTTTGAAAAACATCAATACCATTGCAGAAATAAATCTATACCATTACACGAAAATTACCAATATAAACAATCTACCAATATAAATCTATACCATTTCACAAAAAACCAATACCATTGCAGATTTAATCAATACCAATACATGCAAATTAATACCATTACATGATAATCACTACCAATGGGACAAAAACAATACCATTGCAACAAAATCAATACCAATGCAACGAAAACAATACCATTGAGGTGAGAGGGTCGGAGATAAAAGGATGATCAGCGCCGCCGATTGCTTTGACGACCTCCATAGTCCCGTACTCGCCCAGGATCGGCTCCTCCCCGCTACCAGAGAGAGAGAGAGAGAGAGAGAGAGAGAGAGAGGGTAGGGGTGGGGAGGGGAATGGGAGAGATGGGAAAGGACGACGACAGGGTGAGATGGGGTGGGTGGGATGGGAGAGGGGATGGCGGCAGGGTGGGGTGCGACTTGGGAGGGATGAGACAGGGGACAACGGTGGGGTGTGGAGGGATGGGAGAGCTACGGTGGTGGGGCAGGGGATCGGAGAGGGGGTGAGAGGAAGCTGGTGTCGGCGGCTGCGGGATGGGGAGGATGGGTGCAGTAGGGTTTGATACATATAGAGTAATCAGGTGTGACATTTTTTCATTTTCAAAATTATCCCTAATCTAATCTTTACCGTTAATTTAAAATTAAGGTGAAATAGAGATAATGAATGGTATAGATTTTAGTAGCCACCGTAATTACTAAAAAATAAGTAACCATCCTAACCTATTCTTACTGAAATAAGCATCCAATCATGCGTTTAAACGAAAAAAACTAATTATTATTAATTAGTATATAAATAGCGCCTAATTGCTTAAGGGGTCCAGTGGGCTATGGGTAGGTACACCGTAAGCACCTGTGCACCCCTTTTGTTCCGTCCCGAGGTCCCCTGCTTCCTACCCGTCACTTCTTTCGTTCGCATTATCACCCTCAACAATTACTGATTCGTGATCCCCCCTGTCGACCGATTGGCGATTGGCCAAGATGGATAGCCAATTTTGTATCATGGTTCTTCCTCCCATTTTCTGATTGGTGGCTGGCTGAGTTGGACTCTTACCTCTGCTTCTGGATTTGAGAAAAGAACCGGAAGCTCCTTCGTTCTCTTCCCCTCTCCCACGACGAATCGGAAGAGGGTTTCGATTTAAGTTTTGACTCACCTCCGGCTCAGCGCCGCCAACATTTGAAAAGCAACCGGCAAATCGGAGCGCTGAGTGACCAAGTTTGTTTCCGCTTCAATCTGCAAGGAGGAATTGAATGAGATACATGCAAAGAAGTAAGAACATCAGACAGACACGCCCACTAAATAAAATTGAAATTAAATAAAACTCTTCTTGGCCATCCAAATCGACAGCATCCTCCTATTCCGAAGCTTTAATGAAAAAACTGAGGTTGCAAAAACAGAGCCCCCTTTCCGACTGTCCCCCATCTGCTCCAAATTCTCACATGCAAAGATGAATAGGTACACTTACCTTTGCAACAAACTAAACACTTTTGGAATATCCCTCCATTCTCACTTGCTAAACCACTTGAATGGGAAATACAAATCACCGCGCTTCCATCCGTATAGACTCCAAATGCGATGCAAGATGACATCTTTGAGACTATAAGCTTTAGTAAAAGTAATTTAATCCGGCTCAATGTCATGAGTCCAAAATCCGACTTCTCTTTCCTTCACAACTCTAAACTCGCCACCCAATCTTTTAAATTGTTGAAGCGTTTGCGCCGAGGGAGAGAGGACGGGAATGAAAGAGGTAGAAGAAAACTTTAAAAAGTAAAGAGACAAAGGAAGTTGTGGACTTGGTTAATCATGATGCATGCTCAGGGAAGGGACACTCTTCCATTGTCCACGTGTATGTACTAATTAGGGACTTGAAGAAGCGTGTATGTACTAATTAGGGACTTGAAGAAGCTGCTAGAAAAAATAAATTGGAATATAAAATATAAAAAACAACCTGTTAATATTTTGGATTTGTTGACTACTCAATCATTTGAAAGTTCATGAAATAAGAAAGGGTCGTTGATATGTCGATGCATGTTTATTTACACCATTAGAATTTATGAAAGGTTACATTTAATTTGATGAGAGAATTGCCGAAAGCCAACATTGAATTCAATTAAAAATATAAAGATGTCAATTTTTACTTTCTAGTCATTGATAGGAATTACACACCTTTGACTAATATTTATGTTTAGCCCGATTTAGAATTGTTTTTCTATTTCAAAAGTTGAAATTGGACCAAACACTTCGAGTTTTGAAGAAAATTGAAAACTGCTTTTTATAATATAATAACAGAGGATTCGATTTGGAGTTATATAAAACATTTGTTTGAAAGTACAAGATTATCTTTATTATATTAAATTATTTTCTCCGGGGACATAATTTTCCTTCATTTATCTTATTCAAAACAAAAATAAACTAGAAAATAATATTATTTAATATAAAAGAAATCAAACAAGACTTTTGACTACTTTTCATTTTTTGCGTTTTTATCCATTTTACATGGACTCTTAAATTAAAAAACAATTCCGATAGTTTTTCAACTAAACACTAAACTGTGTTTTTAGTGCATTTAAAAGTTCGAGTCAAAAGCTGGTTTTGCAAAAGGTAAACCACGGTCAAACTAGCCCAATGTTGTTTTAAAATTTAAAACTTAGATAATTATGGTACACTTAAATTATAAGATATCATAAGAATATTTTATTTTTTAAATATTTTCTTGGGTTTCCCTTCTGTACATATAAAACTATTCATCCTGACTTATTTCAATTACCAACTGTGTATCAAACAAATTATATGCATGATAAATCATTTAAGAAAGTCTTTCTTGAAGCCCTCCACGAATACAAAGTGGTATCCACTTTTAAGAAAAATAATAAAAAATTTGTCAATTTAAATCTAATTGCAATCAAAATATCAAATTTGTCAATTTCATCGTTAAGCCCCTGCGCACTCCTTTTTCCCTTCTCGAGATCAAGTAGGGGTTTAAGGGCTTAAGTGTGGTCGGGATCACCGTAAGCTTCGTGCAGCCGGCTTACCCTGTTTCTATTTCGACGTTCTCTCTCCTTTTCTATTTCAGCGTCCCACCCCACCGCTTTTTGCTCCTCTGACGATTCCCTGGCGGCTGGTCAAGATGGGACCTGAGATGGATAGCCGGAGAAATGAAACCCAATTTGCGGGACTGAGGGAGTCGGAGGAAGTGAATGAGCTTAGTGGAGCAGTTTAGAGTTGATGATACACCACTTTTCTTCTAAGTATTTTCTAAATTAAAAGCTTTATGCTTGATAGTAACAACATTGAAGAAGTTCAAATGGGCAGAAAGGACGTACGGTTCTGGACCTGGATTTTGGTTCAGTGAGATCCCGACCTTGAAGGCAAGTTCAATTTGTTGAAAATTGGTTTAGAAACTGGAAATCAGGAAGATGTACACACTCCGACTCTCCCTCTTGTTGAGTCAACAAGCTTGATTCAGCAAATTGAATATCATAGGATATTTTGTTTTGAATATATGTTATTATATGGAACTAACAATCTATGCAGAAATATCACAATCAATGATGAGGAAAAAGGAAACAATTCAAAGTGATTGCTTGCCCTCAAAGGAGTTACCATATCAAGCAAAAAGGGTATCAAATCAAGGAGATACTTGCCACATAAAGGACTGCAAATGAAAGGAAATGAAGGCTCACATCAACTATAAATAGTAGAGTCATTTGTAGGCCAAGACACCTTTTGCAAAGCTCTCTTCTCCCTTGTAATAGAGAAATTGTGTGATCATATTTCGTGGTGTGAATAGCTTGATATCTCGGGGATTGAGATATTCAAGCTAGGTCGGGTTTTAGGGTAGGAAGGGTATTTGTAATTGGGACTAGTGCAAGAGCAAGAGGGGACTCTTGCTTGGGAGTTGCACTAGGTGGATTACTCTCCAATAAAGTCAAACTAAGAGTGTTGGCTTGATTGATTGAGTGGGTAGCTTAGCTTGGATCTAGCTAAGGATTGAATAGGTGTGGAGTTGCACCTATTTGGTTCTTGACTTGTTTCAATTTCATAGGTTAGAGAGTCTTTTATTTTAATAAAAGTTAGAGTCTCTCGTGAGATAGTGGTAACTATCTCGGGGACGTGGATGTAAAGCCATATTGGCCGAACCACATTAAAATCGTGTGTCCCGACTCATCTCTCTCTCTATACTTTCTCTAACTTTGTTCTATTCATCAGTGCCAACAAATTAATCACTTCAGGAGAGATTATTGGCAAGTCCTTTGGATTGCTCAATCAAGCTAGTGCTAATCTCTCACTATTGAAATCTGAATTAATTTGTGCATTGACTACGTCAAAAGTATTCATTATTGACCTCGCTTGGTCTAACACCTCTGTCCCGTTTAGGTTATTTATGATATTTTTAATAAGTAAAACCTTTTTTATGGTTAATTTAGATTTAATAAATGGTAATAAATTAGTTGAATAAGGACGTACCACTATCTATCAAATCAATCATCAATTATTATGTTATCATATATAAGCAATCTCCATCCTTCTCCCACCGTTTTCTTTCTTTTCCTTACACACACACACTCTCTCTTCTCCTTCCTTTTCCCTCCCCCTTCACTCCAGTCCTTGCTCATTTTCTCCTTTCAGCGATAATATATTCGGGCATGGCGTTCCTCAAGACCTGACCCACCCACTTCTCTCTCTCTCTCTGCATCGTCTCTATTCATGTGATCACTGGTTGTTGGCACTAATCATATAAAGCTGCAGCAAATATATGCATATGAGATTTGGCTTGTATACTCTGTAGATAGCTTTCCAAATAGATAAGAGAAGAAAATTGCTTGAGGAAATGGAGAAATACGAGCTAGTGAAAGATTTGGGAGCTGGTAACTTCGGGGTGGCAAGGCTCTTGCGCCACAAAGAAACCAGAGAGCTTGTTGCCATGAAAGACATCGAGCGAGGTCTCAAGGTTTGCTTTCTGTCTTTATGGGAGTTCAAACCCCATTTTTAGGGTTTTCCTAATTCGGTGTGATATATATTGATTTTGGCAACCGATAGACGAGAATGTGGCCAGGGAGATCATCAATCACAGATCGCTTAGGCACCCCAATATCATTCGCTTCAAGGAGGCAATCCCCCCGGCCGAACTCACAGTCCTCACTTTTTTTTCCCTTGATCAAATCGTCCGGGTACCGATTTCTCAACAATTGTGCTCTTCACTCTTTGTTGCAGGTTGTTCTGACTCCAACCCACTTGGCAATTGTGATGGAGTATACTGCTGGCGGGGAGCTCTTTGAGCGGATTTGCAGTGCGGATTTGCAGTAGCGAGTTAGATGTTGGCGAGTATGTTAACGAGCGCTACTTGATTCCATCTTCCACTTGCTTCTCCCAATACTTGTAGCTTCATGCAGTTTTTGTTTGCTTCGCTCTTTCAGGCTAGATACTTCTTTCAACAACTGATCTCTGGTGTTGATTTCTGCCACTTCATGGTAAAGAAAACAAATTTCTCCGTGCTGAATCATTGCAGACAGTTGGTTATATCATGCATCCACCTTGTCCTGTTTTGACAGCAAATCTGCCACAGAGATTTGAAGCTGGAAAACACACTTCTAGATGGAAGCCCTGTACCTCGTTTGAAGATTTGTGATTTTGGATATTCAAAGGTTTTTGTTTTCTTCTTCTTTGTTGAAGTTTTGCTTGTTGATCTGCACCCTTATCTTACATGGGCAGCAACATGATCTTCAAATTATATCATTGTTGCATTTTTTTTGTTCTGATTTGATTCCATGGTTTGTTGGTATATATTACTTAGTTATCTTTGCTGCACTCAAGGCCTAAATCGACAGTGGGAACTCCAGCATACATAGCGCCGGAGGTTCTATCCCGCAGAGAATACGACGGCAAGGTAAAGGATAGTAGCATTGCGCAGTATCGACCTTTACTACTTCATTGATTCGACCACGTAACCTACCTACTGCTGAGACATGAACCTATTAAAATAGTGGGCAGTGTCGCAGTGATGGTGTTCCTCTGTTCACCGCTGGCTGGTTTCGATTCTAGCATTTTGGTTTGTTTTGTTTGTAACTGAGGATTTTGTCTTTTTCAAGGTCCTCGATGCATTGTTTTATTGTGGAGTATTGGGATAAGTCGATGTAGTGATCTCTCCTTGTGGGTAAATCCATGAATTAAGGACCCCCAAAAGCTGGCTGCACATGCCATATGCTGGTTTGACTGTGCAAAACTATTTGCTTTCTGGACAATTCACTTTTGTGCTAATGAGTCTTGAGTGCTTTCTGCTCCTCGACATGTTGCCATATGCTGATTATATTTTGGCAATGTTTAGTTAGCAGATGTGTGGTCCTGTGGGGTTACTCTCTATGTGATGCTTGTGGGAGCATACCCTTTTGAAGACCAAAACGACCCCAAGAACTTCCGCAAAACAATCCAGGTGGATGATTCCCCTATACCTTGATTCTCTCTATTCATAACCCAAAATGAAAGGGGGAGGTCAAGCAGGAAAACCCTTTTTTTACCTGTTGCTGTTCTCACCGTGTTTGCATGCTTGCTTTACGTTTGCAGAAAATAATGGTTGTTCAGTACAAGATCCCCGACTATGTGCACATATCTCAAGAGTGCAGACACCTGCTGTCTCGCATATTTGTAGCAAACCCACTGAAGGTAATGCAGTAGATATGGAAGTAACGTGTGTGCTCATCAATAGTTTCTGATCGAACAAGAATGCATCTGTTGTTTTCATTTCTGTGGCAGAGAATCCCCATAAAGGATATAAAAAACCATCCCTGGTTCTTGAAGAACTTGCCAAAAGAGCTGTCCGAGTCAGCTCAGTCCATGTACTACAAGAGAGGGGATGACCCGAAGTTCCATGTTCAAAGCGTGGAGGACATTATGAAAATCGTGATTGAGGCGCGGCAGAATCCTACATCAACGACTCCTGTCAAGGGCTTCGGGTGGGGCGGAGAGGAAGAGGAAGAGGAAGACATAGATGGAGAGGTAGAGGAAGACGAAGAAGAAGACGAAGAAAAAGAAGAAGAAGAAGAGGATGAATATGACAAAAGAGTAAAGGAAGTTCACGCTAGTGGGGAGTTTCAAATCAAGTGACTATACATAGATGCGGAAAAAGGAAGAAGTAAAAAAATGAGTTAAAAACTTTTGTATGTTGAACTCATTTAGGTACAGGTAAGGATATGGATGTTGTACTGATTTGTCTACTTCTTAAAACTGATTCAGTTTGTTGGCTTATACAAATAAGTAAACTTGTCCAATAGCAGCTGTTACTGAATTCCAAATGTTTTGGTATGTATCTCTGTTCCTTCTGCTCTTTTTTGGGTGGTAAACAGTCAATTACCGGTTTAACCGGTAGCTGACCAATCGATTATCGGTATACCGGGAGAGGGCACGCGAGATTCGAATACCTGTATTGGTTTGTAACCGGTTAACCGGTAACAGGATAGCTGGTTAACGATTACAAACTAGTAATACCGAGTAACCGCAAAGGTTGCTCTCGCCTGCTCTGTTACAACTTCCAAGTTGTGCTTCTTCTCGATTTCAATGCTGGTTGTTGCTGACAGGTCAGAGACAAAGAAGAAAGATATAGAGAAGTAGAGGATCGGGGGTAGATCGAAACTCGAATGCGAGAAGGGAGGGAAGCAATGAACTAGGAAGGATTGTCGATCGAATGGGAATGGGTGGCGCCCGATTAGGGTTTCAGGCCCCTGCTTGTTGCGCGTTTCCCTTCCTCGACGGTAGGGAGGAAGGTATACCGAAGCACTGCTTGCCTGTTTATCGGTTATCGATACGGTTACCGCCTTATCGGATAAGTTGTTAACCAAGAAACCGATTGTCAGCCCTAGCTCATTTTTTAGCCATCAGCAGTAACATTGTTTGGCCTTCAATGACTCTATCTGGAGAGAGCCTTATATAAATTTAATGGGAATTAAGTTTTTTTATTCTTCTCTACAATCAATACTAGTCACGGGCCCGGCCAGTTGGCCGGATGCATTTCGTTAAGTCCGTAAACAACAGTCGCAATTAGTATGCGAGATATGTATTTATCATAGCCATAGGCCTTTACCCACTAATTAGTTTTTGCCCGAGGTTTTTAGTTCGAGTTTCTCAAGAAAGAAAATAATATGGTTTTTACCCACTAATATTACACTTGACCTAAATTACAAAATAAAATAAACCTAAACCTAACACACGCCTCACGTTCCCACAATTTCACAAAATCACTATCCCTAAATACAAAATAATATGGTAATAAAAATATTAATAATAAAGCGGTTCTAATCATAGCCCATGAGAATATGGTTAAGTATTCCCCTCGAGAAAAAAATGGTTAAGTACAACCGTTTGATATCGCATCATAACATAGTAATTACTCTGTTATGGTGAAAATATGAATAACGAATAGATAGTGAAAATGGTTTAGAAAGAAAAAAAGAAAGTATAGGAGACCAAAATAATTGAAACATTATGTAAGATTGATTTAACGAGGATATAAGAAAATAATGTGATGAATAACTAATATATGTTTGAAATCGCTACAATAGATATCTGTTATAACTTATAAAAACAACAAATTAATTATCAAATGAGATCACATTCACCATAAATGATATGTTGTTTCAGCTTGAAAACTCTTGCGAGGATATCAGCTCTATTACGATATTTTCTAGTAGTAGTCCTTATCAAATCAATCATGTATTGAGTCTCTCGCCAATCAGGATTACATGTAAATGTAATGAAAAGATTTGGATATCCTGTCCATTCACAAATTGCCATAACATCATGTAATTTTTTGTACTTATACCGAGGACCACCTATATGTGATGAAGATAAAATCATATGTTTTTCACTCAAACTGGTATATGAATCACCTCTCAAGGAAGAATCCAAAAGACCTTGGTAGTAATGTTGTTGCAACCTTATTTGATTATGTCCTCATCAAGTCCGTAACATGCTACCGATTAGATGTTTTACTTGACCTTCCATCGAATAACACATATATTATGAATCCATAATTTATAAATCGATCAATTTACCTCCAACAAAAGTTATGTGACGACCCCACTACCATATGTTATGTTCCAAAAGGTGACATCACATTTAAATATTTGCTTGCAATAGAATATTCAAAACCTCTGGAGGAGGGAGGTTCACTTTGCTTGTTTGCAACACAATGAAAACTTCGGTTGATTAGAATTTCTAGTGGATTTGGTACTATTTCCGCCCTTCCAATCATAACTCCACAATATTCACATTTATATGATAGATTTCCAATGACAAACACTTCAATAACTATCACAATAAAATTAAACTTCAATATAAGAAATACATTTGAAAAAAATTCTAACATTATAATACATGAAGAAAAATGAAATATTGTTAATATGAATAACCTGAAAAGTCTTCGGAACGCATCGCCTGAAGACGATCATAATGGTTTTTGGCATGTTTGATAGATCTTAAATCTATTTTCTCTTAGTTTGTAAGTTATTTATCTCAAATTGAAGTCTTGTGTAGGAATTAGTAAAATAAGAAATCTTAGCATTCAACATAGATTTGATAACCATATAAATCGAAAACAAACATGAAATCAATGGATTGCCAGTATGAATTTGACAATTTTCTATGTATAGGCTTTTGCCATATATAAAGAGCATGTTTTCTTCTTTCTATTTTTTCAATGGTAGGTCAATTCTCTTCAACATTGGCTTATGTGCATTAATTTCTGAAAATTTTAAATAGATAGTAATAGTTTTGTAAAATCAAGCCAATGAAATAGTTGGAGAGATTCTAAACAATGGATAGTTCATCGATTTTCATACCATCATAAAATTTTCATGTACTTCAGATAGAGACTTATCAATATTAATCGGACCTTCTGCTGGTATATAAAAAATAAATGCTAATAATTTTTGTAAAAATAAATTGAACCTTTGATTAACCAACCATCCTTAATCTTCAAAATTTAATTCGGTACCCATCCTATTCATATTCTCATAGAATTATATTACTATAAAAAAGATGCACCTTTTATCAACCTATCATCCTTAATCTTCAAAATTAATTAACTACCCATCCTATTTATATTATTATACCCAAGGTAGTCAAAAGCACTTTTTTACCTAGAAGGATTTTGATGATCTAGAAGGTAAAATAGTAAGCTTTTAAGCTTTAAAACACATTTTTTAACTATAATAGTTATAAAAATTGCGCTTCTGCTTAAAGTGTTTTTGTAACATAGAAGTATAAAAGCATAAATTTTTAAACTTTAAAAAACGATTTTGACAACATTGCTCATACCAGTATAATAATATAAAAAAATAATATTCTCCTTTGATTAACCAACCATCCTTAATCTTCAAAATTTAATTAACTACCTACTCTATTCATGTTCTCATACCAGTATAAAGTATAAATTATAATTCAAATTTTTAACCATGGGTATTATCTTTTGTAATAGCAAAGCAAATGCAAGAGAAAGCAATCAATCATATATATACGTGTATAACTGTATATATAAGGCAAATATGTATACTTGAGAAAATTTTCTTCAACAATCAATATGCATTAATTTGGTATATAATATGATAGACCATCTAATAATTAAATCAAAATAATTATAGCATCATGATGCCGGCTCACCAATTAAAATAAACAAATCAAGATAGGACTCATAGGAGAAACAGTAGAAACTAAATAAATTAAAGAATGTTTATGTAACTTGAATCGGACTATCAGCCGCTACGAATGGTAATCGGAGAGGGCTACGACGCTTTTGTATAGGAGGCTCAGTTTCCATGAAAGTGTGTGTTGATGTGACTTGAATCAGACTATCAGCCGCTACGACTGGTAATCGGACTATCAGCCGCCCACGGTGTATGGGCTCAATGTTATTTGGGTTCGGGTTCTGGGCCTGGTCTGTAACCGTTTCCTTTGCAAGATTGGATTAGGTTTAGACCCACATGGAGAAAGTAGTATAAATACTTCTCATACTCCTCTGTAATCTGTAATCTCCTCGATATAGTAAAACTGGCTCTCTCTCACCCATGGACTAGCTAACACACATCGTGGTAGTGAACCACGTAAATCGCGTGTCTGTGTTTTTTCGATTCTCGCTTTCGTATTCTTGCTTTGTCGATTTCGACGTTTTCCCGATCCGTAGCAGCGCGTTTATAACAAGTGGTATCAGAGCCGCGGCTGGAAATCAGGCTAGGGTTTTCGATTCAGAAGAATGACGTTGGTGAACATGAAGATCGAAAAGTTCACGGGGAAGAACAGCTTCGCTATATGGCAGATCAAGATGCAGGCTTTATTAAAACAGCAAGGCTGTGGGGGCCGCTGTCTGCGAAATATAAGAAGGCAACGGTCGATGACGATGAGTGGAATACCTTGGAGGAGAAGGCCCACTCGACCATCATGCTATCGTTGTCTGATGACGTCATCATTGAAGTCGCTGCTGAGAAGACTGCCGCAGGCTTGTGGTTGAAACTAGAGAGTCTGTACATGACTAAGTCTCTAACCAACAAGCTGCATCTCAAGCAACGGTTGTTCAGCTTGAGGATGCAAGAAGGTACGCCTTTTAGGGAACATCTCGAACAACTTAACTCTATTTTGCTGGATCTGCGTAATATAGATGTTCAAGTTGATGACGATGATGCTGCCCTAATCCTACTGGTTTCTTTGCCGAGTTCATATGAGAATTTCGTTGATTCTTTTATTGTTGGTAAAGAAAGCGTGTCGTTGGAGGATGTCAGGTCTGCTCTTCATACAAGAGAGATCAGACATAAGGCGTCCGGATCTGGTACAGGTGGTGAGGCATCGGGTTTGGCTGTTACATGTGGAAAGGGAAAGAAGAAATCTGGTAAGGGAATTCGACCAAGAATTCCAAGGGTCCCGGTCCACAGCCAGGTGATGCTTGTCACAACTGTAAGGAAGTGGGGCATTGGAAGTACAACTGTCCCAAGAGAAGAGGGCAACAGAAGAAACAAGGTTCAGTTGACGTGGCAGAAGTGGACAACAGTTTTGAAGACGATCTCGCCTTGGCTGTAGATGAGAAGGCACATCGTGGGGATGTGTGGTTTCTGGATACTGCAGCCTCATACCATATGTCTCCGAACAGGGATTGCTTCACAACCTACGAGCATATAGATGATGGTAACGTGGTCATGGCAAATGGAGCTGTCTGCAAGGTTGTTGGAATCGGGTCCATAAAGGTTCGGGCACATGATGGTTCGTTCTGTACCGTGAATGATGTCAGGCATGTTCCACGAATGACAAAGAACCTGATCTCCTTGAGTCTACTCGACAGCAAGGGTTTCAGCTTCAAAGGAAAAGGTGGAGT